TCCTTCCTTAATTCTGTCTTCTTTCTCTCTCTCTCTCTCTAGTTTCTTCCTTCCTTAATTTCCTTTCCTCTCTGTCCCCTTCCTTCCTTCTCATCTTCCTTCCTTAATTCTGTCTTCTTTCTCTCTCTCTCTCTCTAGTTTCTTCCTTCCTTAATTTCCTTTCCTCTCTGTTCCCTTCCTTCATTCTCATCTTCCTTCCTTAATTCCCTCTTCTCTCTCTCTCTCCTTCCTTCCTGCTATCCTCCCCCTCCCTCCTCCCCCTCTCTCTTTCTATCCTTCTCTCTTTCTCTTTCTCTCCTTCCTTCCTTAATTTCCTTTTCTCTCTGTTCCCTTCCTTCATTCTCATCTTCCTTCCTTAATTCCCTCTTCTCTCTCGCTCTCCTTCCTTCCAGCTCTGTTATTCTGCTATCCTCCCCCTCCCTCCTCCCCCTCTCTCTTTCTATCCTTCTCTCTTTCTCTTTCTCTCCTTCCTTCCTTAATTTCCTTTTCTCTCTGTTCCCTTCCTTCATTCTCATCTTCCTTCCTTAATTCCCTCTTCTCTCTCGCTCTCCTTCCTTCCAGCTCTGTTATTCTGCTATCCTCCCCCTCCCTCCTCCCCCTCTCTCTTTCTATCCTTCTCTCTTTCTCTTTCTTTCTCTCTCCCTCTTTCTCCCACTGAAGAAGAAGCCTCTTGGATCAGTAGAAAAACGTTTTGAAAAGCCCACTCCAGTTTGAGAAAAGGCCCCCGTGGGACTTCCATCACCGTGGACAATCCTGTAACGTTTGGTGGTGGGGGGGGGCTTCTCCCCCCTGCAGGTTCGCACCCTGGCCCGGACCGATGAAGCCCGTGGGCTGCTGTGGCTGCTGGAGGAGGAGTCCCTCCAGCCGGGGGGCAGCGAGGAGGGTCTTCTCGAGCGGCTCTTCACCCACTACGGCCCCCAGGACGGAGACAAAAAAGGTAGGCGGGGGAGGAAGGCTGTTGAACTGGGATAAACTGGGCTGGCACTGAATCCAGTGGGGCCTCACCTCTTGGCTCCCACCTTTGGAGTAGAAACTGCCTCTCAAGTGGGGGGCAGGGGGCAAGGATCGGTAGTCCTCGATTTACGACAATGGCGGGGTTTGGGGGTTAGGATTCGAATGGTTTTCAGACCATTTTCAGGCTGATTTTGGGGCGTTTTCCAAGCCATTTTGGCCTATTTTTCAGGGCCACAAACAGCTCAAAAACACTCCGAAAAACTGCCCCCAAACCAGCCTGAAAACGGACCAGAAAACAGGCTGGGTTTTTTTTTTGAGTGGTTTTTGCCCATTTTCAGCCCATTTTCTGGTGCTCCGGCACCCGCGAAGACCAGTTGGCGAGGGCGGTGCCAGTGCCCACAGAGAGGGCTCTGCGTGCCACCTGTGCCAGGCGTGCCATGGGTTCGCCTGTCACTGGTTTAGGGTCTGTGAGCATCCTAGATTTGACCAAGCCAAATCCGGAAAAAAAATGCTGGGGAGCATCTGGACCCATCAGCCATCGACGGACACATAGAGATAAACTACACTTCCCTTCCATCCCAAAGAGGCAGTTTAAACCCGAAGGAGGAGAGGATGGTTTTGTCTGGTGTGAATCCCCACTTAGGGCGTTGTGGTTTTTAACACAACCCCTCCGGCAGCCGGCTAACCCCACCCACCCTTGCCCTGATGATGCTGCCTAGTTGGGTAATGAAACGTCGGAAAGGAAAGCAGGGCAGCAGAGGCAGCCCACAGGCTGAGCTCCGAATTGAGACCCCGGTTGAAGAAACAGATGGACCCCCATCTTCCGTTCTCTCCCCACCCCACCGAGACCCAGGCGGCCTTTGGCGCTCAGATGTTTTTGCCCGGCGTTCGTCCTGGCTGTGATGCTGCCCATCGGCCCTCTTGGAGAAGGGCTGCCTCCGATGGGGCTGGGCAGGGCGAGCTTCATTCACGGTGGATCTTTCTCTTTCTTTTCTTTTCTTTTCTTTTCTTTTCTTTTCTTTCTTTCTTTCTTTCCTTTTCTTCCTTCTTTTCTTTCTTTCTTTCTTTCTTTCTTTCTTTCTTTTAGTATCTTTTCCTTTCTTCCTTCCATTCTTCCTTCTGTTTCTTTCTTTGTTTTCTTTCCTTCCTTCCTTCTTCTCTTTCTTTCTTTCTTTCTTTCTTTCTTTCTCTTAGTATCTTTTCCTTTCTTCCTTCCATTC